AAAAGAAAAAAAAATATAGATATTTTAACGATATTAGTATTTCTATAGTTTAAAAACTATAGCATTTATTAGTATTTTTATCGTTTAAAAACTAAAATATATATAATATTTAATTTTATAATTAATATTTATTAATTTTCAGTTTGAGAAATAAAATTGTATCACAAGTCTTTATTATTTAGTCTTTTGTTAAAGTAAAAGATTTATATTCTCTAATTTTTGAACGACATGATAATCAATGTCTCAAGAGTATGACTGAAGATGTGCGCATATCATTTACGATAGTTAATAAGGTAGATTTGCCATTTTTCCAAAAAGTAGAAAATACAATTGTTGTAATTTGTGAAAACAGAGAAGTGCTGGGCACCCTTGAATCTGATGCAAATTATTAATTCTAATTCTAAATTATTGAGCGTCTAAACATATTCCTCTATTTGAATAATTAGGAGCATGTACATTCTTAATTTGGCATATTACATACTCAGCAAAGTATGTAATTTCCAAATTTTTATACGAGATTGGAACTCTTAATAAAAAGTTGAAAACAGTGTTAAAAACACTTATAAACTTAGTAAGAATTTAAATGCGTATATTTCACTTATATTGCAAGATCAGGATATTGTGCAATTTAATAAATTAAATCAAGGGAAAAGGGTCTGATATACCCCTCAACTTTGTCATTTAGAGCTGATATACCCCTTGTTATTAAAGTGGCTCATATATACCCCTATTTGTAAACAAATGGCTCACATATACCCTTTTCCTCTAACGGAAATGAAAAAAATAATAATTTTAATCTAAATTTTTATTATTTTTTTCTAAAAAATATAATCCCATATGAGTAAATTTAATCCTCGTCAAACTTATTTTTTTGACATTTTTTTGTTTCAATTACTAATTTATAATTATTATTTGATAATCAAATTTATTTATGTTTCACTAATATTCTTATAAAACTTATTGTAGATGATCAAATTTTTTCTTCGAATACGAAATTAAATTACAATACACAAAAAAAAATAGTTTAATTTTTTATTCTTTAAGTAAGGAATGAAAGAAAAAATAAAATAAGAATAAGAAATTCAAATAATTACAATAAAAGAAGTCAAAAAATAATTTATGTATGAAAAAAATTAAAATATACCTTGAAAGAATCATATATACCCCTAAATAAATTTTTAAAAAAATTAGAAGTAATAAATATAAATTTAAAACAAATTTTTTAAATCCGTTAAATGAAGGGTATACGTGAGCCATTTTGTAACGACAGGGGTATATGTGAGCCGTTTGTATAACGGTAAGGGCATATATGAGCCACTTTTATAACGAGGGGTATATCAGCTCCAAATGACAAAGTTGAGGGGTATATCAGACCCTTTTCCCTCAATGTGTATTCTTAAAAATAAAACTAATAATTCATAGCAAGTTAATGAATCCTTACAATATTTTTAATTTCTCCTGTTATTTATTACTCTCTCCGTTTTACAAAGAATGACCTAGTTTAACTTGGCACAAAATTTAAGAGTATAAAAAAAAATTTGTATCTTATTATCTTAAATTAAAATAAGGTTAAATATATATAATTGTCCTTTAATCTATATTATTACAAAAAAATCATTCTTTTTTTAATATACTAAAAAAAAAGTTATTTTCTTTAAAACGGAGTAATACTTTTTATAAACCGTTATTCTGTCAAGTGTCACCTATTCTAATAAAAACATCATTAAAAATTACACATTAATAAAATTTTGTGTAAATTTCTTTTAAAAAATTACTTGGAAATACCCAACAGAAATTCATTTTTCATTCATTGGTGCTGCTTGCCGCACCTTTCCTCGGAACTCATAAGCATCCCGTGACATTTTCTTTTTTGACCCTCGTCAATATTTTCTACATATTATTTCCACGGTCTCTATTTAATTATCCATTTTAAAATGAGTAAATAAAATTATGATTTTATCCTTATTAAATATGATTTTAAAAAGAATGAATTAAAATTTAAAAAAAATTTCAGGAAATTTAAATGACGATATAATAAACTTTTTTTTTTAATCTTTTTTTACTTTCTCAAAATAAATAAATAAATAAAGACAGTAAAAAATAATATAGATATATAAATAGAGACAGAGGATATATTATTGTCCATATACTCTATATTAATGCCTTTTTGTTATCACTTGGGGATGTGGTAGTAAAGATTTCTTATGATCACTCGGCTAAATAAACGTCATGTTTGATAATGATATTTATTTGGACAATTCTAAAATATTCGTTGATTTTATCATAGATAGAATGTTGATGTTACTTGATAATTTTCTCTCAAGTTTCATGCAACGTGTTGCTTTTAGAATCAAACTCGTAATTTTAATTCTGATAAACCACTTACATATTTATACCATCATAGTCAAAAGTTAGTAATTAATAGTTAAGTATAACTTTATTTCTTAATTAATTATACTCACTAAATAAATATCATGTTCAATCACAACTCTAATTCGTATTGTCATAACCCCCTTATAAGCCTTGCCATAAACATAATGTAAATGTTACTCAATAGATGGTTTTGTTCATGGTTTGTGTTCGTTATAAGCCAGCACTCTTTATAAGAACGATCATGTGGTCGCCCTTTCAAGACAGAAGGCCAAAGAGCATAATAATAATAATAATAATAATAAAGATTTAACACTATTATAATCTTTAATTATATGTTCAAAAGTAGCATAGTTAATTGCACATTTGCTTGCTTGGGTTTGCTTCTTAATCTTTGTTTTAACATTTCTTAGTTTGTTATTCCCTTCATCCACTTTGTTCGTAAATTTTACGCTTTTCAAAAGTTATTTTGACTATTATCTTTAAAGGTAAATTAGATTACAATAGTTTAGTATTTTAAACAAAATAAACTACAGTAAAAAACTATACAAAAAATATTATACATTATATTTTTTTTTGCATATTAATATGATAAAAGTAAATCGTAATATATTACTCAAATTTTTATAATTTTAAAAAAATAAAAAATATGAGAATTATTAGTGGACGAAGATAGTATTTCAATTTACCCATTATGGAAAGTAAGAAACATTTTTTAATTTGGTTTGGTTCCACTATAAATCAACTTCCCAAAATTACGTTACATGAAACAATACAATATAGTCCGTCAATCAATGAAGGTCAAGTAGTGTGATAAAATATGACCCTTGCTAAAAATATATAGTCAAATCTATAATAACAAGTTAGTTTACTATCATTTTTATCAAGTTATTCAATTATATTTATTATAGATTTATATTTATAATTATTACTCTAACCATCTTATTATTTTATGTGACACTTTTCGCATTTCGAGATTCAAATAAATCTATTTTTGACAGTAAGTTTTTTTATAGTTCCTTTAAACATTTTGAATTATCAATTATTGTGACTTATAGTACTCTTTACGTAGTTTACAAATATATAAATTTTATTTAAAAAAATTTAAAGATTCCAAAATGTCCAATCAATGTTGAACTGTTTAATTCTTAAAAAATAAAAAATGTAATGGAACAAAAGGGAATAATTGTTAATGAGAAAATGAAGGATATATCAAATCGAATTGCCCTAATGTAAAAAATCCATCTATTAATCGACACTTTCCCCACTAATTTGCCGGCTAAATTATTTTTAAGTGTTTTTTTTTAATTTTAATTAATTTATAATAGAAGAAAATAATAAGATAAATTAATCTGGTCATCACAATATGTAAAAGTGAACCAAGAATTGACCCATTATCATGAATTTGTACACCGTGCCTTCCACATAAAAAAATATTCCCACCAAATATATCTATCAATAAAATCAATAATAACATGCTTTCTATATACTTTTTTTTTTATCACCAAATTAGTTTATTTGCATTTTCACCTCAATTATACTTCATAGTAGTATTAAAGTATATTGCTTAGATGTAATAACGGACTTAAAAAATTGATCTAGCCTTTATAATATTAGTTGATGTAAATTTTACAATATGTGACTGTTAACTCAATTATTATAAAAATAATAAATTTCAAAATCTGAATCAATGGTTAATAAATTTTGCCTAGTACATTCAATGAGAAATTTTTGAAGTTACGTAATGAATTATTAATGAGAACGAGGCTCCTTGTATAGCATAGTTTACCTTTCTTGGTACATTGAAAATTACTACTACTTTTTACTATAAATTACATGTATTTTATTTTAAAATAAATAAGATGGAAGAAAAAGAAATTTATTACGTTTTTTACCATAAAAAAAGAATCAAAATTCATTATTGTACTTTGTACATAACGTTTATGATTAATTGTAACGTTCAAGTTATTAACGTTTTCTATGTTTATTCAGTCTAAAATTTATAGCCTTTACCCAATTTCTAAGGTTTCATTTATGTAGACATAATTATCTCACAGAGAAAGTCAAATACTTTTAGAAAAATTAGGAAAATATCGTTATATATAAGAATTTTAAAAGATAATTAGCTATAAATATAGCTCATAGATGATGTAAATATAGAATTTTCACAATATCAGGAATGTAATTATTCATAATTATATTTTAATTATTTTGACACTCAAACCTATGATAATGTTTTTCTATTAGAAAACTTCAATTCAAATTTTATTTATTTTTTCTCGGTATCCTTAAATGTCTTTAGTTAAATTAATCACATTAAATATATTAATTATACACATCAATCTCAACTGAAATAAGCGTGAGCATTTTACAATTTATTGAGACTAATGCATACGATTAAAGAAGATAGATATATTTTTAAGCGGTCAATTTATTTACACAATTTTTTTCTTCAAAACTTGATCTGAAAATATTTAATAAAAATAATTTTTGTCTCAATAAAATTTAAATAAAATTCAACATCAATTTCGAGGCGCCGTATTAATTTTTTTAAAAAAATATCCAATTGGTCAAGGATCCGAATGACTAGTATAAATAAACTGTATTACCTAATTAAAACTTACATGTGTACTTTTTCAGTTTTTTCCTCTGTTTTAAAACTGATTTTTTCACACAAAAAAAATGAAACTATATGTGTTTTTTCTATATTTCATCTACTTTTTTCATAATGTTAAAGCAAATGTGATTAATGATGATTTTATCAAAACAAAAGGGGTACATTTTATGTTAAATGATAGTCCATTTTATGCAAATGGATTTAATGCTTATTGGTTAATGTTAATTGGTTCTGATCCATCACAAAGACACAAAGTTTCTTCTGTTTTTCAAGATGCTGCTAACCATGGCCTCACTGTTGGTAGAACTTGGGCTTTTAGTGATGCTGGATATTCACCTCTTCAGTTTTCTCCTGGATTCTACAATGAAATTATGTTTCAGGTTTTTATTGCTCGTAGATTTTACATTGCTTTTCTTTTTTTTTAGCACAATGTGTTTTATTTATTTGAAACACTTTGAGCTAAGGATATTTTGGAAACAATCTCTCTATGTCTGTATACACTCTACTTTCTTTGGAATTAGGGACGGACCTATATAGAGTATGCTGAATGCTCAAACACTCATTAACCTCGTTTCGGAATATAAATGATTCATTGACTCTTGGGTAATGGGAGGGTGATTAAAGTTATTTTAGTGTTGTTGAGTCTGAGTTTGAATCTCACCTCACTGTTAACATGTTTATACATATATATATATATATATATATATATATATATATATATATATATTA